TTTGCTTCCGAGAAACATGCAAAACGGGACGGAAAATATGAAATTTTGCAATAATCTTGCGCCACCCTTGCACAAAACGACGATAATTTTTCTAATTTCATAGACAACAGGAGACTGTATTTTTTCTACTTGACCCCCCCTGACTTTAAAGCTGGATCCGCCCCTGCTTCAGAGTGGCTTGTTCGACGAAGCGCTAGTCCGCCGCCCAAAATACTCTCTAGTTTCAAACAATGCCGCGACAATTTTTTATGTTTTAGATTTCCGCTCCTCAGGAATTCACGGTTCTGATGTCAGCCATTAGGGACGGTAGCAAAGAGCTACACGGCGGCAAATTGTCTCATTTCGTCCAGAAAGTGCCGATGCCTTCATACCTTATTGCACTTGCCGTGGGTGTTTTGGAGTCCAGACAACTGGGCCCCAGATCGCACGTCTGGTACCAGTCTACTACCAACCTTCTTTGCGGCTGAATAATTCAAATTACTTGGTTTTAGGTGTGAGAAGGAAATAATCGAAGAATGTGCTTACGAATTCGCCAATACCGAACACCAGCTGAAGACTGCTGAAGAGCTTTGCGGGCCATACGTTTGGGGGATTTATGACTTGCTAGTCTTACCGCCGAGCTTTCCTTATGGCGGCATGGAAAATCCTTGCCTGACTTTTGTGACTCCTACTCTCCTAGTAAGAACTTTGCAAAATAACGCATCTCGGGTCACGAAACTTTATTTGTTCAGGCAGGCGATAGAAGTCTGGCTAACGTGATAGCGCACGAAATCGCTCATAGTTGGACGGGAAACTTGGTGACCAATCGCAACTTCGAGCACTTTTGGCTGAACGAGGGGTTCACCGTGTTCATTGAAAGGAAAATCAAAGGAAAACTTGAATCGCCACAAAGTCAAGACTTTGATGCCTTCACGCATGTTAGCGTGTTAAATGAAACAGTCAGTAACTTTAACCTGTAGAAAACTGAATGTATGTTTTAACCCTTCAACAGATTAATTTGATGGGGAAAACGAATCCTTTGACTCAGCTGGTTATTAACCTTGATGGGGTACATCCAGATGATGCATTTTCTACAGTTCCCTATGAGAAAGGGCAAACATTCCTTAGGTATTTAGAAACTACAGTCGGAGGACCAAGTAAGTAAACACACACGCACGTAATTGAAACTGATTTGAAGCTTTACAGCTGAAATGGAGCCATTTCTTCGATCGTACTTCGATAAATACAAATATCAGTCCATAGATACCGACGTGTTCAAGTCCTACTTTGAAAGTTATTTCAGCGAAAAACCTGCCATATCAGAAATAGACTGGCAGAGTTGGTTGAGTAAGCCCGGCATGCCGCCAGTGATTCCCGATTATGATAAATCCCTCGCTGTAATTTGCAATGAACTGGCTGATAAGTTCACCAGTTGGGATGGAGAAGGCCCTTTGCCCATAACTCCAGAAGACAAAAACAAACTGTCTACTTTCCAGGTCATTTATCTGATTCAGTCCATCTTCGAGAAACCGGCCGAGCCAATCGGAAAACTGCAAGCTTTGAATAACGTTTTCGATTTTGACAATGTGAAAAATGCGGAAATTAAATTCATTTGGCTAAGGATCGGCCTAAAGGCCCACTGGGAAGAGAAAGTCGATCCTGTGCTGAAATGGATCAATGTTATCGGGCGCATGAAGTTCGTCAGGCCATTGTATAGGGACTTGTATAACTGGGAAGCGATGAGATCAAAAGCCATTGAAAACTTTAAAGCCAACAGGCAGAATATGATGCATGTGTCGGCCTATACTTTGGCCAAAGATTTGCATATTAACGAGTAGGATTTGCGATTTAGGACTGTTGACGATTCATTTGCAATGAAATGATTTTGTACCAGTTTGTTTCATTTTACACTTGACCAAAAGTATTAAGTTGTTTATTGAATACACCCGTGAATTGTCAATATGTAATTTTGGAAAATTCTGGTCCAAGCATTAGGTTTATTTACATTCTATAACATTATTAAACGGAACATTGTTTATGGTTGTTTCATTCAATTTCAACACACTTGTGATCATGTTAAAAACAAAAAAAACTCTATTAAATAACTAACATTATGCTCGGAATCTATCTGACAACATAATCTTTAGGATAGTCGATGACCTTTGGCGCAGTTTGGACCTCTTCCTCAGAATAATGATCCAATCGTTTAGGAACCGGTCTTATCTGTCTTATTTGATTCGAAACATTTCCCAGTAATTCATTGGGAACGTTGGCATCGGGGAAAATGTGTAACCTTTGCATTGTGTACCTTCGTTGTAGGTTCCCGTCCATTCCGTTATAAACTGCCTTTCGCATTATCTAAAAGATAATTGTCTTGGTTGATTCCCAGTTTTGTCGCTTTAGTTTGTTTAAGAGCTCTGAGGATGTTTGAAAATTGTTCAAATATCAGCTCGCTGCTTTGTGTCTACCGGTGAGCGTTGTGAATATAAAACGGCGTTTAGCTTACCATTGTGGGATCCTTAGTATGCAGATCCCAAGCTAATGTCCATGATGCTCCGCCTGGATATCCAGTGTGATGGAAATATACTCGCTTTTGCCATTCGTTGCCTGGTAAGGCGATGTCAGCACTATTGATCAAAATTACATGATCCCCACAGTCATCTAAAGCGACAAAAGAATTATAAATAAACGTACTTCAGTTCCGTTTGCCCAGTGGAATCAAAGGTCAAATTAAACTTATTTGAAAGTTGCATTGCCCAGCTTTCTGACAATTCATTTAAATTTAGTAGTGCGTTGCCCTTGAATGAAATTTTCTGAAAGCTTGGTGATCAAATCAGAAGTTCCTCTCTCGGAAGACCACAACTGATTGATACTTAACATCTTCACAGCACTTTTCAGTCGAGAATACCATCCCAGTTTTAAACTAATTTATAGGAACTTACTCATGGGGTGATAAATAGGCTTATACAGCCCCATTAGGTACTTCTTCAGAAGTTGTGCAGAGTCAAACGGGTTTTGCCAAGTAGCGTCGTATATGTGCCATATCCTTGCAAAGGTTGCCCATTGCTTAGAAGACAACAGAACTAGTTAAATTGCTGGTTTTCTGTTCTTAAACTTACCTGAACTCTTTTTAAAGCAGACATATCCAAAGCTTTTGCTGAAAATGTGGGGTTAGAGCTAAAATTAGAGAAAAAAGTAAGGTTGTGTTAGCGCCCATATAGATATTTTCCCTTCAATTGGGCGTGGTTGTGCTACATTATTGTTGTTGATAAGTTCAATATTGTTGAGGCGGATTCATTTTTTTACAAACTTCTTTTTGGGTATTTTGCCTCAAAAATTTTTGTCTTTAAAAAGGACATAATTTCCTCACGTCTTTTATTACAGTTTGATAAATAGTGCTCCTATTTCGCAATAAGAACGAATTATTTATCAAAAAGTAATCAAGAACTATCAC